TTGTACTAAATGATCCAGAACATTTTGACCTCATTTTAATTTCTTCAACTATTTTTGATATTTCTTAATCTGTACATTCTTCCCTCATTGTTTTTGACCGTAGAACAGATTGGTCTGTTGTTTTTTTTTTATTTGAAGTAAGGATGATTCTGGAGCCTTTTTAAAATAGCGTGAGACACACTTCATAGAAGTCATAGAATCCGTATAGTGTGGAAGCAGGCCATTCAGCCCAAAGGGTCCACCCTGACCGTCCGAAGAGCATCCCACCCAGACATATCCCCTACCCTATCCCCTACCCTATCCCTGTAACCCTGCATTTTCCATCACTAATCCACCCAACGTGCACATCACTGGATGCTACAGGGCAATTTTCCATGGCTAATCCACCTAACCTGCAAATCTTTGGACTGTGGGAGGAAACTGGAGCACCCAGAGGAAACCCGTACAGACATGGGGAGAATGTGCAGACTCCTTGCATGCAAACTTGTGCCCTCATTCCTGGGGTTTGATTTTCACCAAGGTCTTCTAACGACACAGGCTATTTTAAGTTTTGTACTCACTGCCTTCATTTCAAACCTGATCCATTCCATCAGGGAGATAGTCAAGCCCTACACTTGTGCTATTTTTATGGAGTTGGGATAGCTTTTAAAGTGCTGTGGTTCAGGGTAACGCAGAGATGTTGTAGGCCATAGTCTACATGAGGGAACCTTTTGAAATTTAAGTGCAACATGTCTTCCTGATGCCCTCATGCCAGGCTATGCTCCATCATGACTCCTCCCAACAGGTTTTGTTCCTGATCCACCTTCCCATGGCCCCTCCTGCATCCCAATGCCAGGCTATAGCCTCCCACTGACCCCCTGCCACTCTAGCCATTCTAAACTATATTCCCTACCCAGTCCCCATAGTTCCTCATGCCTCTGGCCAGCTTTGGCATTGGCATACCCATTCATTTACTATACACTGTATGGAAGCAATAAATCCTATAGTTATAACAGAATGAATTTAAAAGTGCTTTAAAAACATATTAGACATTAATTAATAATATTCCACTTCCGTAAAACACTTTTATTGGTCTGTAATAAAACATTAGTTGCCCATATCAGTTAGAGTATTAATAGCAGAGACTACAAGCACTGGAATGTTCTTCATCTGATGTAAATAAATATTACACAATTGACAGTAAAGATCAGAGCGCCGGAGCTATCAATCAAACAATACCTCCCCTGGAGCTTAGCTGATTCAACAGAATAATAGCTATCTGGGCTTTCAGTCTTGAATGTATAATGTTACTGTAGCCAGCACCTCATCTCTGCCTCCAACAAACCAGAAATTAAGATTATTCATCCAGACCCCTGAGATAGGCATCCAAACCCAAGGATTTTCCCAACTCTAGCCTCTAAGTTGAAAATCCAGGCCATTTTGTCTTCTGATGACGGATTTCAGATCTCATGTCATTCTAAGAGCTGGTCTATAACCAGAAGTGCTCACAGAGCCAGTTCATCCCCTGACACCCTAATTTGCCAATGGAGAAACATTCTCTATTTGCCTTCTGTCCCAAATGACTTCCAATCGTAAGTAATTCAGGAGACACAGCAAAAATTCATCCCTAGGAAAAGGAAGCATGGCACAGGGAGGATGAGGCAACCATGGCTGACTAAGGAAGTCAGGGATAGCATAACAGCAAAAGAGAAAGCATATAATGTGGCGAAGGGCAGTGGAAAACCAGAGGACTGGGAACTTACATAGACTAACAGAGGGCAACAAAAAAAGAAATAAGGAGGGAGAAGATTAAATGAGGGTAAGCTAGCCAGTAATATAAATGAAGACTGTAAGAGATTCTTTAGATATATAAAGGGCAAAAGAGAAGCAAAAGTGAAGAGAGCCAGGGGGCAGAGCTGAGTATAGTGGCCATCACGAAGGAAAAGGTGCTAGAAAAACTGATTAGTCTGAAATCACCTGGACCGGATGGATTACACCTCAGAGTGCTAAAGGAGATAGCTGAAGAGATAGTGGAAGTGTTAGTGGTGATCTTTCAGGAATTGCTAGTCGGGGAGGGTCCCAGAGGACTTAAAAAATCACTAATGTGACACCCCTGTTTAAAAAGGGAGTAAGGCAAAAGATGGAAAATTATAGGGTGATTAGCCTAACCTCGGTCGTGGGTAAGGTTTTGGAGTCCATTGTAAAATAGGGCAAAGTCAGCATGGTTTCATCAAGGGGAGGTCATGCCTGACAAATCTGCTAGAATTCATTGAGGAAGTAACGAGCGGAGTAGACCAAGGAGAGCCAATGGATGTTATCTACCTGGACTTCAAGAAGGCCTTTGATAAGGTGCCACACAGGAGGCTGCTGAGTAAGATAAGGGCCCACGGTGTTAGAGGCAAGGTGCTAGCATGGATAGAAGATTGGCTGCCTGGCAGAAAACAGAGTGGGGATAAAGGGGTCTTTCTCAGGATGGCAGCCAGTGACAAGTGGTGTTCCGCAAGGGTCAGTGTTGGGACCACAACTTTTCACTTTGTACATTCATGATCTAGACGAAGGAACTGCGGGCATTCTGGCTAAGTTTGCAGACGATACAAAGATAGGTGGAGGGATGGGTAGTATTGAAGAGGTGACAAGGCTTCAGAAGGATTTGGACAGGTTAGGAGAGTGGGCAAAGAAATGGCAGATGGACTACAACGTGGGAAAGTGTGAGGTCATGCACTTTGGTAAGAAGAATAAAAGCATGGACTATTTTCTAAATGGGGAGAAAATTCAGAATTCTGAAGTGCAAAGACACTTGGGAGTTCTAGTCCAGGATTCTCTCAAGGTAAACTTGCAGGTTGAGTCAGTAGTCAGGAAGGCAAAAGCAGTGTTGGCATTTATTTTGAGAGGACTTGAATATAAAAGCAGGGATGTACTACTGAGGCTTTATAAGGCTCTGGTCAGACCACATTTGGAGTATTGTGTGCAGTTTTGGGCCCCATATCTCAAAAGATGTACTGGCCCTGGAGCGGGTTCACGAGAATGGTCCCAAGAATGGAAAGCTTAACATATGAGGAATGTTTGAGGACTCTGGGACTATACTCATCGGAGTTTGAGGATGAGGGAGGATCTAATTGAAACTTTCAGAATACTGAATGGCGTGGATAAAATGGATGTTGGGAAGATGCTTCTACTGGTAGGAGAGTCTAGGAACCGAGGGCACGGCGTTAGAGTAAAGGGAAGACCTTTTCAGACAGAGATAAGGAGAAACTTCAGCCAGAGAGTGGTGAATCTATGGAATTCACTGCCACAGAAGGCTGTGGAGGCCAGGTCATGGAGTACATTTAAGACTGAGATGGATAGGTTCTTGATTATCAAGGGTTACGGGGAGAAAGCAGGAGAATGGGGTTGAAGAACTTATAAGACATGATTGATTGAATGGCAGAGCAGACTCGATGGGCCGAATGGACTAATTTCTGCTCCTATGTCTTATGGTCTAATCGCTAGACACAGGCCACAAATCTTAATAAATATCCAACAAAGGATAATTAGTGCAGACTGAATTCTTTGGAACAAAGCCAGATAGAGGGTTAAGGAGAAAGTGGGAGAGCGTTTCAGTCAGAATGACCACAACACAGTACGGTTTAAGATTATTATAGTTTAAAAAAAAGGATGGTCTGCAAAAAAGGAATTTGGATTAGGGAAAGGTGGATTTTTTAAAAATAAAGCAGGATCTACAACAGAACAATGGGCACCATTCAAAAGGAAGTCGAGAGTACAGGCTGTACATGCTTTGTACATGTTCAAGGTGAAATATAGGACTGACAAGCCCAGAGAACCCTGGATGTCTAGGAAGATTCAGAATGGATAAGAAGGAAAAGAGAAGGGTGGATCCTAACATAATTAGGAGAGCAAAGAGGGTCCGTGAAAAAAACACTAAGCAGAATTAGGGAGAATCCCAGGATATTCTAGCAGTACATTATGAGAAGAGGATAACCAGGGCAAGAGTAGGGCCGATTTAAGGACTTAAGGGGACAATCTGTGCATGGAGCACATGGGTGACTGACAAAGAAGGTAAAAGCACATGAGATCCAAGATAACTTGGCAAGCTGGATCCAAAATTGGTTTAATGGCAGGAGACAGAAGTTGATGGTAAAAGGTTGTTTGTGTGACTGGAAGCCAATGTCCAGTGGCATACCATGGAGCAGCATTTCCTGTAATTTTCTTATTGGCTATGTGGGCCTCTGAATTCAGTGGCTGGCAGAACTTTTGGAAATGGAAGTCACTGCTGCAACTGGCACGCACTTTGGAAGAAGGAACAAGACAAGGGAGTACTCAATGAATGAAGGACACTAGGAAGCTCAGAGCAAAAGAGATCTTGGGGAGCTTGTCCACAGATCCCTGAAGGTGGCAGGACAGGCTAATAGGGTAGTTAAGAAGGCATACGGGATGCTTGCCTTTATCAGTCTTGGTTATAAGAGCAGGGAGGTTCTACTGGACATTTACAGAACTTTGCTTAGGTTACAGTAATGTATGCACTTCTGATGATTTATACTATAGGAATGATGTGACTGCACAGTAGATGATGCAGAGGAGATTCACCAGGATGTTGTGTAGGATGGAGCAGTTTATCTGTGAAGAGGCTGAATAGGCTCAGATTGTTTGTTCTTTTTTCACAGCAGAGAAGGCTGAAAAGGGACCTGATTGAGGTGTATAACATTGAGGGGCATGGACAGGGTGGAGAAGAAGTAGTTGTTGCTCTTAGTTGAGGATCAGTAACAAGGGGGAATAATTTCAAAGTGAAAAGCAGGAGGTCTAGAGGGGATTTGAGAAAATCTTTTTACTCGAAGGTGGTGGCAATCTGGAATGACCTGCTTGGGAGTGCAGTAGAGGCAGGAAACTTCACAAACCTTTAAAAAGTACTTGGATGAGCCCTTGAAATGTTGTAACTTTCAGGGCCACGTGCTGGAAAGTGAGATTAGTGTTCCTGTTCTCTGCTGTGTGACTCTATGATAATTTTCTTTTTATCTTGGATTCAGAATTTGCAGAACAGAGTTCGTTTGAAGTCCGAGCATTCTCAGAAGCCATTCAATTCTTCAGGCAGGAAAAAGGTCACTACGGGTCCTGGGAAATGAATCACGGCAATGAAGTATTGGTGAGTCTGTCATGTATAATAAATAACACAGCAGTGCAATGTCATTAACATCATGCCACATGCAACATTTCTCTGCATCTGCTCGTGATCCCAGAACATGTTCAGCCTATCTCCCCCAGCCGTTTTTTTTGTAGACCATCTATGTGGCTCTGAATGGTTTCCTGCTAGGAATGTATATCTGCAAGAATGAACAAAACAGTAAGAAATGCTGTAAAAGAAAAATATACAAAACAAAAGAGCTCCATCTGGTTAGGACTAGGACCTCATTAATCTATAAGCATGCCTTCTACAATGAATCCCTTGTAAATACACTTGCATATATTTTGTCGTTGTGTAATTACATTAAGATATAACCTTCCTGCTCACTGACACAAATCTGCAATGTTCCAGTTTTAAAACAACTACACCTTATCAATAAGTAGTGATAGGGAGCAAAGAAACGGCAGAGGAATTGTATCAATACTTTGCATCAGTCTTCACAGTGGAAGATACCAGTGGGACACTAGAATTTCAAGAGAGTCAGGGGCGAGGTGACTGTAGTGGCCATCACTAAGGAGAAGGTGTTGGGGAAGTTGAAAGGTTTGAGGGTGAATAAATCATCCAGAGCGATTGGACTATATCCCAGAGTGCTGAAAGAGATAGCTGAGGAGATTTTGAAGCGTTGATAGTGATCTTTCAGGAGTCACTGGAGTAAGGAAGGGTCACCGAGGACTGGAAAATAGCTAATGTAACACCCCTGTTTAAGAAGGGAGGGAGGCAGAAGACGAGAAATTATAGGCCAGTCTGCCTGATTTTAGAGTCTGTTATTAAGAATGAAATTGTGGAGTACTTGAAAGCGCATGGTAAATAGAGTTGAGTCAGCACAGGTTCATCAAAGGGCAGTCATGCCTGAGAACTCTGTTAGAATTCTTTGAGGAGGTCACGAGCAAGTTAGACAAAAGAGAGCCAGTGGACTTGATCTGTTTGGATTTCCAGAAAGCTTTTGACATGGTGCCACACAGGAAGCTGCTAAATAGGATAATAGACCATGGTGTTAGGGTCAAAGCACTGGCATGGGTAGAGGATTGGCTGACTGGCAGAAGGCAGAAGTAGGTATAAAGGGGTCTTTTTCAGGATGGCACTGGTGACTAGTGGGTTCCGTAAGGGGTCAGTTTTGGGACCAGTTATTCATGCTATACATTAACAGTCTGGACAAAGGACATTGTTGCTATGTTTGCAAATGACACAAAGATGGGTGGAAGGACAGATAGTGTTGAGGGAGTGGGAAGGCTGCAGAAGGATTTGGACAGGCTGGGAAAAGCTAGCATTTGGACAAGCTAGGAGAGTGAGCAAAGAAGTGGCAGATGGAATATAGTTTGGGAAAGTGTGAGGTTATGCACTTTAGTAGGAAGAATAGGAGCATAGACTATTTTCTAAATGGGGAAAGGCCTCAGAAATCTGGGACAAAAGGATTTTTGATTCTTATTTCAGAATTCTCTTAAGGGTAACATACATGTTCAGTTGGCAGTTAGGAAAGCAAATGTAGATGAATGTGGTTTAGAAACATATCAGCCACGATTGAATGGCACAGCAGACTCAATGGGCCGAATAGTCTCATTCTGTTTCTTTATCTTATGGTCTAACTGCCTTTTTAGTGGTAAGAGCAAGGTGTATTTATATGGAACCTAAATATGGGTTTGGAAAAAGTTCCAAGTAAATTCACCAAGTTAAAGAAGGAGCCAGTCGGACTGCTGCTCGAAAGCTTGGTCCAAGAGGTAGCATTTAAGGAGCTCCTTAAAGAAGAAAGTGGAAAGATAGATGGGACAGAATTCCAGAACTTGGGGCATTCACCTCAACTGTCTCTCTTTCATTTTCATTGTCTCTATCCTTCTGTTCACCTATAATTTCCTCTACATTACTCATGCCTATCAAAAGTATTTTTAGGATCTGATCAGCATATTGGGGGATCTGATCAGTGATTTGATACTTGATGTCAATACCAGTCCAGATTAGGCAGCTCTTCTCCAGTTTTGTTTTTACTCAAAACATTTTTCTATTACACGAGCACTAATGCCAGTGAATGTGACCTTTGTGTGCTGGAGGTAGAATTTCTTGCAAGAGCTGAACGTCATGCCGATTAAATTTAATAAGTTAGTCCTTTCTCTGTAAATAAGATAGTGCTGCTGTGACAATAACCGACAACCTGTCCTGGACTTCCCACATAAATGTGACTGTCAAGAAGGCACAACAACGCCCCTTCTTCCTCGGGCAGCTCAGGAAATTTGGTATGTCCATAAGGATCCTCACGAACTTTTACAGGTGCACCATTGAACGCATACTGTCCGGGTGCGTAACGGCCTGGTATTGCAACTCCTCTGCCCAGGACCGTAAGAAACTACAGAAGGTTGAGTGCACAACCATCAGGGTAGCCAACCTTCCATCCATGGACTCTATTTACACGGCTCACAGCCATGGAAGGGCTGCCAACATCATCAAAGTCCCATCGTGCCCCAGTAATGACCTCCTACAACTTTTTTTACATCAGGCAGAAGATACAGAAGCCTGAACACATGCACCAGCAGGTTCAGGACCAGCTTCTTCCAGGCCATTAGTAGACAGATGAATGGCCTGTCTAGCCTCAAATAATGCTGATCTAGCTAACGTTGATCTTGACTAGCGCACACCCTGTGCAATATAACCTGTATGCCTCTGTCTAAGTCTTTTTACAACCTCTGATCTGTATATCCTTGCTTACTATGATCTGCCTGTACTGCTTCTAAACAAAGCTTTCAACTGTACGTCGGTACACATGACAATAAATCAGTCAATCGATCAATCCGGCTGACTGGCAGCATTCCCTCAGGAAAAGCTCTGGGTGGCCCAGGCCCTTTCAGGCTTCCCTAATCCTCTGAAGGAGGCTGCAGCGATCGTAAAGAGGTGATAGGGAGAACCAAAGGGCCGTCACAACCAGAATTGAAACCTTTTTGGACCTGGAGAGTCTAGATCACGGTAGAGGATGGCATATTAGTATGGGGAGCAAAAGTGATTGTCCTGAGCAAAGGTCGCTGCTAGATCTCCAGGGGTCATCCAGAGGTTTTCAAAATTTAAGATGTTGGTGAGACATTTATGTATGGTTGCCAGAATTGGATGCAGACATAGTTGCATTGGTGGGGCCCAAAATGCCAACAAGGACAAAAATTACCACTAGCAGCTCCCCCTAATTAGGTTACCCGGAATCGGTTACACATTGACTAAGCAGGTCCTTTTCAAGGGCTAATATTCTTAGTCATTGTGGACACCCACTCGAAGTGCCTGGATGTACATAGAGTTCATTTGTCAAGCACAGGGATGACGATAGAAAAACTGCACTCATCTTTTGCAATAAACAAAATCCTGGCAATGTTGGTCACAAAAAACCCTCCAACGTTTAACAGCAGGGAATTTGAGTGCTTCCTAAAGTTGAATGGTATCCTTCAGATAAGGACAGCTCTGTACTATCCATCATCCAATGGTCTAGCAGAAAGAGCAGTCCAAATTTTGAAGGCAGGTGTGAAGAAACGGCCTGCAGCTTCACAGGATACCAAGCTGTCCCCGTTCCTGTTTGATTACAGAATCATTCCTCATGCAACTACAGGGATACCTCCAGCAGAGTTGTTAATGGGGAGAAGACTCCACACCAGGTTAAATCTGATCATCCCAGACCTGGGGGAGGGTCCATGGCTGAAACAACGTCAGGAACACCAATGCTGGCCGCAAGATTCCACTAAGCAAGAAAGAGTTTACGTTCAGGGACAAAGTTTGGTCTAGAAAACCATAGGAATGGCCCTAAATAGGTAAAAGGCTTGGTTGACACAAGGTCAGGTCCAGTGATGTATAAAGTTTGGGTAGATGCGACAGTCCTGAAGAAGCATATGGACCGTATGTTAACTGCAAACCCACAAATGATGTGGGAGCAAAATGTGCCCAGCTCCTTCAGTCTTTTCAACTGTTCCAGAACCCGTCAAACATTGCAGAAACCTCGGAATCTGAGATGGACACGACAGATGTTGCCACCTCTGCTGCCTGAGGAACAAGATAAATTTCTTCTGAGATGCTCGGGCGCGAGAAGCGAGCTACTGTGCATTACACACTACCCATATCAGAGGCAGAGTGAGAGAAACCTGACCCGGTGCTAAAACGCCCCAGGAGGAGCTACAAAAATAAATCAAACTGGTCTATATCCTCAGATTCGGGGGGAAGGATGTAGTGATTGTAACAAAGTCAGCTAGATGGATCTAGCTCTGATTGGGGCTGTTAACTTGGTCCAATCGAGGAGCCCTGGCTGACGGAGATAAACAGGAGTGTCAGACATCCTGGTAACTCTGAGCTGGCATGTGGTAGCTGGATCAAGTGTCAAGGACTTTCCATGTGTAAATAAATAATTGGTGATGGGATACCCGCCTCTGTGGAGTTATCTCAGAGGCAGATACCTATCTTATCTAACAGGTGACTCTCTACTGTCATCACCAAAAAAGATTGCTCCTGGCTCTGGCTCTACTCCCCAGTCTCTGCAGAATGTCAGCTGGCTCTACCCCAGACCTAAGTGACTCCCTCACACCTCTGGTGACAACTGGAACTTTAATAATCTAGCTGCTCCTCCAATCACTGGATATTTCTGTCCCACATTTGTTGCTGAATGGTGCAAGCCTAGCTGGCAGAAGCTGAAAAATAGGACTGCTTTCACGCCAGCAGCATGAACTGTAAGTGATTAGATGGGTCTAAGTGATTCCACAACCAATAAATCAGATTGAAGCTCTGCAGTCCTGCCATGACCTGTTGTGAAGTGTGGTGGACGATTAAACAACTTAGTGCAAGAGTAGGCTGTAGAAATTCTCAATGATGGTAGCGCCCAGCACATCAGTGCAAGAAATAAGGCTGAAGCATTTACAACAGTCTTCAGCCAGAATTGTCAAGTGGATGATCCATCTGTGCCTCTTTCAAAGGTCCCCAGCATCACTGATACCAGTCTTCAGCCAATTCTGTGTCAAAAGCAATGGTTATTGTAAAGGTTATGGGCCCCGAAAACCTTTCTGCAAAGATGCTGAAGACTTGTGCTCCAGAACTTGTCGTACCCCTGGCCAAGCTCTTTCAGTACAATCCCAATACTGACATATGCCTCACAATGTGGAAAATTGCTCAGGTATGTCTTGCACATAAAGTAGGACAAATTCAACATGAACAAATAATATCACATCAGTCTACTCTTGATCATCAGGGAAGGAGATGGAAGAGGTCATTAACGTTACTATCGAGCTACACTTGATTAGCGATAACCTGCTCACTGACACTCAGTTTGGGGTTACTCTGATGCCACTCAACTCCTGACCTCATTACAGCCTCGATGCAAACATGGACAAAGGAGGTGAACTCCAGAGATGACAGTAACTGTCCTTGGCATCAATCCAGCATTTTGAGTATGGCGTTGAGGAGCCTTGAGCAAAACTGGAGTGAGTGGGAACCAGAGGCAAAATTCTCTGATGGGTCGAGTCATTCCTGGCACAAAGGAAGCTGATGTAGTTGTTGGACTTCTTAGGGGGAGCTCCTCAGGGTAGATGTAATCAACCTGTTCGGAGATGTTACTACATGCCTCTGGACCATGTGGGACTTTACCCAGGCACCCTGATCCAGAAGTAGGGAGACTACCATTGCACCTCAAGAGCCTAGTTCCTCAGAGTACATATTTTTAATCAACCTATTCAGATATATTAAGACACCTTTGTAACATTTGGGATTTGAACCCAGGCCTTCTGGCTATAAGGTAGGGACACTACCACTGTGCCACTTCAACTCATCAGGAAATTGTACTAAACTCAGCCACCTTCAGCTGCTTCATCAATGACCTTCTCACCATCATAACAATAGAATTTGGGATGTTCGCTCATGATTGCACATTGTCCAGCACCATTTGCACCTTCTCCTACTGAAGTAGTCCATGTTCAAATTGGAGAAAGAGCTGGACAACATCCAGATTTGGGCTGACCAGCAGCAAGCAACATTCATGCTACACAAGTGCCCGGCAATGAGCATCTCCAACCAGATAGAATCTAACCATTGCCCCTTGATGGCAATTCAATGGCACGACTACTATCACTGAATCCTCCACTGTCAACCTCCTAGGGGTTACCACTGATCAGAAACTGAACTGGGCTAAGTGTGTAAAAACACTATGACTACAAGAATAGGTCAGAGATTAGGAATCCTGCACAAGTAACCTCACTTCCTGATTCCGAAAAACCTGTCCACCATCTACAAGGCACAAGTCAGGAGTGCCCGCTTGGGTTTCACTGCAGCTCCAGCAACACTCCAGAAGCTTGACACCATCTAGGATAAAGTTTAATTGGCACCACATTCTCAAGCATTCCCTCCCTCTAACATCAAGGCTCAGTAGCAGAACGTGCATACCATCTACAAGGTGCATCGCAGAAATTCGCTAAGCCTCCCTAGACCAGCATCTTCCAAAGTTACGACCACTACCATCTGGAAAGACAAAGACATCAGATACATGGGAACGCCTCCACCTGCAGGCTCCCACCCAGGGACCACTCACCATTCTGATTGGGAAATATATTGCTGTTCCTTAACGGTCATTCGTCAAACTCATGGAACTCCCTCACTCATGTCATTTGTGGGTTTTCCTACTCCAAATGGACTGCAGTGTGGCAAGAAGGCAGCTCATCATTACCTTCTCCAAGGAATCTTGAGGATGGGCAATAAATGCTAGCCCAGCTTGCAGTGCCCACATACTGTGAATGAGAAATAATTTTAAAGAGCTAGGTTAGAATAGTTTAGGGTGTAGGATATGTTGGTTTTGGTAGGGGTGCAACAGATTTACCACCATATGATCAGCGTCTCTCGCAAACCCCCTCCCACCCCACCCCCCACGTGCACGTGCACACGCACACGCACACACGTATACACCACGTGTACACACACCCGTTAAATTGGTTATATACATGAGTTTAAGGCTGAACTTTTCTGTTTGATGATGAAAACTAAATAATATATGATGGGTTCATAGCGGTCTTAAAATCATTACTCTGTTGTGTGAAAAACCAAATGTGTGGACCTGTGTAGAAATTATCAGCACTTGCACAAGTCGTCTTAACCTCTTCTCTTTCCCTGATCCCTTTCACTTTTCTCCCTTTAATCAGTCATCTCCATTACATCATCCAAAAGACACTTGATAATGCATGCCAACAGGATATTAAGCTATGTGATCACATTTCTCAGTGACTACCTGAATATATTTCAAGGAGAGTGATCAAGATGGAATCTGTGGCTGATTGTACCTCATCCCTAATCTGAAATTAGTGGAAGAGATGGAATACGTCGAACCTGATTTCAGCCTGAGGTGTGAGAGGTTGGCAGAGCAGGGCGGAGTTCCAATTTTGATTTTGAGCAGAGTGGGTTTCTACATGTTTGGAGCAGGGGTAAGAGCAGGGCAAGCAACAGGAGCCTGAATACAAGGCTCAGTGGAATGGGGTAAAGGGAGCAACACAAATTGGCAAATAGGTTTACAAATGACTGTGTTGGCTTAAAATACATGTATTTTATTATACAGTTACCAACTGTCCATTGATTTGGCTGGCAAGATCCAGGAGCTGATTAGAAAAAAACTATAATGCCTGAGGAGTTTCACTGGAGGCTTGGGAAAAAAAGTCAGATTGAAGAGATGAATCTGAATCTGTGTAAAGTCATTCTATTGTGTAGCCGTCATAAACAGTGTTGCTTTTGCAGCAGGAGAGTGGATTTGCAGAGATAAACCACGCTCCACTTCCAAAATTACACATTTCTTTATCAACAGCGTGTAAGGCTGTGTTTCAGGGTTAGATGAGGCCGGGGAGGGGAGGGGGGTGCGGAATGTGGTGATAGAATAACAGCAAAGTGAGTTACAATTTAGAAATGTATTTAGGGAGAATGATGCTTAATCACAGTCCATCAGATAATCAGTTCTGTGGAAGGGTCACTGGACCCGAAATAATAACATTAACTCTGATTTCTCTTCTCAGATGCTGCCGGACCTGCTGAGCTTTTCCAGCAATCTGTTTTTTGGTCTATCAGGTAATATTAGGGGGAATTAACGAGTCATATCACAGCGCCACCTGCTGGTTCACTATCCTTTGTATTCTGGGACAGCTAGTTGTTTTGAGAAGTCTGCAATTCAATGGAGCTTGGTACTCTTTCACTTGTGCCCTTTTATAGACCCTGCTCGTGGTTCACATCTGGAATGAACAGCAAAAAATGTGAACTTGTCAATTCAACTAAAGTTTTTTTTTTTTTGTGTTTTTTTTTTCCCCTTTTAGATTTTAAGTAACTTGGTGATGGAAGAACTATTACCTTCCCTGCAGAGTGACATCTTGCCAAAGATGAAAGGCAAGAAGAATGAAAAGCGAAAGGCCTGGTTCAATGTATGTAACTAGCTTATTGCTCCTTTGCAAGACTCAGGACTTCTAAAATGAGCAAGGATAACAACGTGGTGCAAACTTAGGATTTACGCGATCAAAATAGCAAATCTTAACCTCTGTAGTTACTCTTCATTTTTCCATGGAGGATGAATTTTCAACAGTGAGACTCAATGCTAACTGCAGACAGGAATGGGCAGGTGGTGGATAGGGTCTGTCAGTCATTTAGACTTGAAGCTGTGCCCTTGTTTGCATTAGTCACTGAGCTGCAGTCACTGTACGAGCACGTATCTCCACAGGACAGCATTTCAGCCACTATATCGAACTCTCCTTTATCTTACAGCAGAATCATAAACCCTAACAAAGAAAAAGCTTTCATTTTTATAGTGTCTTTCATAGCTTGAGGACATCTCAAAACATGCTACCGCTAATAATATGGTCTTTAATTGTAGTCACTGTTGTAATGTCAGAGCAAACAGGACATGTGTTTAAAATCTCACCTGACAGACTGTATCTCCAACAGTGCTCAGCTCCCTCAGTACTCTCAGCAAAGGTTTTATGCTCAGGTCATTGGATCAGGACTTGAACCTCCAATCTTTATGATTTGAGGGTTACAGCGTTAATAACTGAGCCTTGGCTGAAAATAGGCTCAGTACTTTGATGCCTGGATTAGGGAGCTACATCTGACAGTATAAATTTAGGAAGCAGGAATTCAGAAACTGAATTCATGAAATTCACCCTAAATGACTGTCCATATAAAAGTGACCTATGAACTTTTGCACACTAGCATATTTGCAACTAATCACATCCCACCAATAATTACAAACTTGATGCAAGTGAAGAACTTTGCCATTTGTCATTCATCCTGTTTTGAAAATCTGGTCACGATTTTCTGACATTTCAAGTCCCGTAGGAAGCTGATGGTATTTATTGCAGAATAGATTAGATTAAGGTACTCATTAGAATCCTCCATATCCAGAGGGAACAGAGCTCTTCCCAAAAAAAATGTTTGTACAGGAAATGCTTGGCCTGGAGAAAGATTCAAGGCACAAGGCCACAAGGAAAAAAGTGAACAAAGTGAGCATTGATCATAACAAAAGTGACTCTGAAGAATTAATAATGCAAAATAAGGAAATGGAAGATTAACTAAACAGATATTTTGCGCCTGTCTTCATTATAGAGGACGCAAATAACATTTCAGAAGCAGCAATAAATTCTGGGAATAGAAGGGAGGAAGGAACTCTGGAAAATCACAATCACAGTTTGACCACAGCTGAAATGCTGTGAACAGTTTTGGCCCCTTCTTGAAGGAAAGATGTACTGGTATTGGAGGCAGACTGGTGAAGGTTCACAAGATCAATCACAGGTACAGAGGGAAAGGTTTGTGAGGAAAGGTTGAGAAGGTTGGGCTTGTACTTATTGGAGTTGAGAAGGATGACAGGTGACTTGGTTGAAACGTATGAGATTCTTGGGATGCTTGACGGGATAGTTGCTGAAAGGTTGTGGTTCCCCTTGTGAGAAAGTTTAGGGCCAGAGGGCATAATCTCAGAGTAAGGGGTCACCCATTTAAGATAGTAATGAGGAGAAATTTCTTCTCTGAAGGTAGTAAATCCATGGAATTCTTTACCACAGTGGTCTGTAAAAGCTGGGTTGTTTCACATATTCAAGAAGGAACGTTATCTAAATGATGAGAGATTGCAGAGCTTTGAGATAGATGTGTCCTAGTACACGAATTACAAAAGTTTAGTTTACATATACAGCAAATAGATACGAAAGCTAATAGAATGTTATCATTTATCATGACCAGAATTAAATACAAACGTAGGTAGGTTACGCTTCAGTTAGACAGGACATCGGTGAGACGTAATTTGGAGTACAATGTATACTATTGGTACCTTGTTTAGGGAAGGATGTCAATTTGTTGGTTTACTAGACTAATACCTGAAATCAATGTGTTGTCTTATGAGGAAAGGTTGAACTGGCAATGCTTATATCTGCTGAGGTGTGGAAAGGTATGAGATGACTTAATTAGAACATACAAGATCCTGAGAAATCTCGACAGACTAGATGTTTCCTCTTCTGGGAGAATCCTCAAACTAGGGGGACACTGTTTAAAACTCTGGGGCTGTCCATTTAAAATAGAAATTATCCTCTCGTTGTGATTTTGTTTTTTTGTTTTTTTTTTTGAACTGTTTTCCTGAAAAAGTATTGGAAGGAGAATCCTTGAATATTTTTAAGGCAGATGTAAATGGATTCTTAAGCAAGAGGGTGAAAAGTTATCAGGGGTAGGTGGGGATTTAGTTTTCAGATTACAGTCGGATCAGCCAAGATCTTATTGAATAGCGGAGCAGGCCCAAGGGGCTGAATGGCCTACTCCTGCTCCATGTACCTACACTTGTATGGTTGTATGCAGGAATTTCATGTCAAGAATAAGGTTTTTAATTTCAGTGTGTTGGGGGACTGAGAAGCCAGTCTACAAGCACCAATCCCTGTGACACAGTCAGTAAGGATGAAAGTGAAGAGTGATTGGAATTCAGTGTAATGCGGGATACAGGTACTGTATTTGAATAAGATTGTAGAATGATAGAAACATAGGACACAGAAGTTAGCCATTTATCCCATCTGTCTACACCTGCCGGCCAGGAGCCATCCTGCCTAATTCCACTGCCCTAATCTTGGTCTGTAGCCTTGTATATTATTCCACTTCAAATGCATACCAAGTACTTTTTTAAATGCACCGAGATCTTCTGCCCCATCCATCCATTTCAGGCAGTGAGTTCCAGAGCCTTACAACCTGCTGGGTGATAAATATTCTCCTCAACTCCCCTCTCATCCTTCCACCAGTCACTTTATATCTATTTGGCCTGATTTTTGAGCTTTCTGCTAAGGGAAATAGTTTTTCCTCTTATCCCTGTTAAGGACTCTCAGTTTTATGCAGCCCGATTAAATCTCCCCTCAGCCCTCTCTGTCCTACGGAAAGTAACACCAGGCTATCCAATCTTTCCTCACAGCTAAAATTCTCTTTTCGTCCTTATAAATTTTTGTAAATCCCCTGTGTACCATTTTTAGAGTGACCACACCTTTTATGCAATGTAGTGACTGGACATGTGCGCACCACCCTAGCCATGTAGCTAGCAGTGTTTCATGCAGTTTTAGAGGACCCTCCCTGCTGTCATGTCTCAGCTGTTAAAGAAACGTTTACAGACAGAAGATGATGAACGATGAGATTTATTGTTTTGTCTGTTCTTTTCTAATTATGTTGCTGTGTTTGATTTTTCTACTTGTTTCAGTTTCCGGGTTAATATAAGAACTTAGAAATATAAGTATAGAGCCAATCAAGTCTGTTCTACCATTCAGTGAAATTGTGGTTGATCTGTGTTTAACTCCATCCATCTCTCTTCTTTCCATCTCCTTCTATGCTATTTTCCACCACGTCTGTCAGTCTCCATTTTAAAAGTATTCGTTGAGCCAGGACTGAATACTTAGAGGGAAAATTTCCAGATTTCCACCACTCTTAAAAACTCTTTGGAACTCCACTGTTACTAGCTTTTTAACATTTAAATAATTTTCAGGTTTATCTTTTTCTCAGTCCGAGTCCATCTCCCATGGTTCTGCCCAAAGAAAAATTGTTTCCTTGTTTTGAGATAACAAGGTGTAGAGCTGGATGAACACAGCAGGCCAAGCAGCATCAGAGGAACAGGAAGGCTGATGTTTCGGGCGTAGACCTTTCTTCAGAAATGGGGGAGGGGAAGGGGAATCTGAAATAAATAGGGGGAGGCGGATAGAAGATGGATAGAGGAGAAGATAGGTGGAGAGGAGACAGACAGTTGAAAGAGGTGGGGATGGAGCCAGTAAAGGTGAGTGTAGGTAGGGAGGAGATAGGTCAGTCCAGGGAGGACGGACAGGTTAAGGGGGCGGGATGAGGTTAGTAGGTAGGGGAAGGAGGTGATGGGTGGGAGGAAGGACAGGTTAGGGAGGCGGGGACGAGCTGGGCTGGTTTTGGGATGCAGTAGGGGGAGGGGAGATTTTGAAGCTTGTGAGGTCCACATTGATACCATTGGGCTGCAGGGTTGCCAAGCGAAATATGAGTTGCTGTTCCTGCAACCTTTGGGTTGCATCGTTGTGGCACTGCAGGAGGCCCAGGATGGACATGTCATCTGCGGAATGGGAGGGGGAAAAATGGTTCGCGACTGGGAGGTGCAGTTGTTTAGTGTTTTGACCTTGTTTTGGGGCGGCATGGTGGCTCAGCAGTTAGCACTGCTGCCTCACAGTGCCAGGGACCTGGGTTGGATTCCACTCTTGGGCGACTGTCTGTGTGGAGTTTGCACATTCTCCCCGTGTCTGTGTGGGTTTCCTCCTGGGTGCTCCAGTTTCCTCCCACAGTCCAAAGATGTGCAGGCTAGGTGGATTGGCCATGCTAAATTGCCCATAGTGTTCCAGGGTGTGTGGACTAGGTGGGTTACAGGGGGAATGGGTCTGGGTGGCATGCTCTGAGGGTCAGTGTGGACTTGTTGGGATGAAGAGCCTGTTTCCACACTGTAGGGATTCTATGGAGTTTCGAGGCAGTCACACCCAGTAGCTCGTGTGACTGCCTCGAATCTCCAGCATCCACAGTTCTTTGTTTTATTTGAGAATTATGATGGTGTTTTACAGATTGTGGAAGAAGCTTACAATTTAGTACAAAACCAGCTTGTAGATGGATTGCAGTCTCTACAAGATGAGTGCAGAAAATCTGTGAAGGACCTGGAGGGGATAATTCGTTCAGATATGGATCAGATCATTACTTCAAAGGAATTTGCTGCCCGGAAACTTAAAGGTGAATATAAAGACATTAAAAGTAAATGCAATATGTAGAAGGCATTCGGCTTTGAGTCCAATATTATTACAGACCGTGTAAAATTTCCTCTATCCTTCCATCTCCTCAAAGAAAGCAAGCAACCAAATATAAACCTGAAGAGAGAACTCTGTGAACTTCTCAAATACCAAGCCATTTGCACAGAATTCCAAAATATTAACCAAACTGGTTTCTATCTGTGACTAGCTACATCTGTAGTTGATTCATCCATATTTTTGACAACGTTGAACCATCTTGAATACCAGAGCTTTTAATCAATCTGAGTTTAGCCAACTTCGATTGAGAGTAATGTGCTTTGATATCAGCAACAAACAGAGGGTGGAATCTTACAGGAGTCTGAGTGATGTGGACTACGTCAAGATTTATGGCAGAATCTGGCGAGAAGTTTGGTGAAGCACAACTGGATGTTGAGATTATCCCACTCCCATCGTTTATACTTTAGACAAGTGGTGCGGTGAGTTTCTCATCAGGCAGTGGGGAATTGTGAATGAAGGGAAGATTACTGCTTGTTAATGCCCAACTTGCCTCATTGATATTCAACTCCCCTTCTTGCTTAAAGCACCAAACAAGATAAGTGTCAACACAGAAATCAGAACAGGTGCCTGGCGAATTCGGCTCACTGCTTGCTCTGAAAAACCTCCATGTTGGACACTGGACACCAACATCTCAGAGCACGCTCGAAAGTGCAGGCCTCATCTATGGACATGGGCATTCAATTTGTGCCAGCCTCATAGTCCACGTGGCACATGTCCAAATCACTTAGTTTGCTTCTGCACTTTAACACTGCATTCAGGCTGCACCAACAACTATCACATAATACTGCTGCAAGGTCACTGTCAGCTCATAGACTGGACCAGGCTGCATCTCCAGGCTCGTTGCTTGCTGTCATAGTGTTCACTTATTATGAAACTACCTGGATGCTCACAGCATTTCTGCCTTGCAATGCCTTTTTGTGCTTTGCCCCCTGAGCCAGAGATACCAGGATCACATTATTACTGTCTTATCATGCGATTTAACACAGACGCAAGGGAAGGCAGCGTGTCATTGCTGAGAGCAGGTCTCGGTCAATAAAGTGGGATAGTCCTTGGTCATGGTGTTGTGTACAGTAAGTCAATGGCAGCATCTAATCAGTCCAGGGGCTTGGACACAGTTAGTCAGTCACTCACTCAGGGACGTTACAGTCCATATAAAGGGTGAGGAGCCACATTTTGGGCAGCCTCCCATGTGCCATTCTTTCTGCCTTGTTGGGGTTGTTTTCCTCATGGAATGAGACCAAGTGGGTGGCACAACTATTACTTTTGTTGCAGATGGGAAGGTTGCCCTGGGTGAGTGAATTAGGCAGCAGAGGCAATGCAGGGTTAGTTGTGACCAGGGATTTGGATGTGAGACAATGAATGAATGTTGCAGGCATTAATGAGAATGGTAGAACACAAACCTTAGTGGAAGGTGGGTACAGTAACTAACAGAGGTAGAGTGAGTGTGAGGTATTGGAGAGAAGATGGTAGCACTTAAACTGGCCGAGTAGAGATCATTGATCATCTTACAGAGCTGCGTGTTCCTCCAGAGAGCTGAGACTACTTTTAACCCGGGTGGTAATTTTGGACAAGGCTGGCATGGCGTTCTGAGGAAGGGCCACTGGACCCGCAACGTTAAGTCTTGATTTTTCTTCACGCGTGCTGCCAGACCTGATGAGATTTTCCAGCAACTTCTGTTTTTGATGTGATATGGTCCAGTGTTGTGGACTGTCATGGGAAAAGAGGAAGTCTGCCACCTCTGCACCACCCTGTCCAACACGATCTCCTGTAAAGCAGGGCATTGATTTCCCCATAGCTACCATGTCCAGGACAAATGTCAGGAACTGTGCAGGGCACCTCTGGTCTCAGATTGCATGTCTCTGAAAAAGGGCACTAGTGAAAAAGGGATGCTAGTGAATTCTGCTGAGTGGTGAATTGATCTGGGTGTGATAAGATGGAGTCAGAATTGGACATGAGACCTGCTATGGGGCAGGGAAAGTATAATGAGGTGCATTCTGTAAGACAAGGTTCGTTAGACCTCAGGGTGAGAATCATTCCCAAATTTCTGTGCAACTTGGACATAGCCAAAAAACATTTATCTCAGGCCAGAAATGTTTTTGCTTCCTATCAAAATAATTTTCTCTCGGTACTTCCTATTGTTTCCATTAATGTCTTTGCACTTAGGTTAGCTTTCCATAACAATAGTTGGCATTGACATTCATCCATCATAGTTTTGTCACTCAAGCTGCTATGCCCCTTTGCAATTTAATGCTGCCATCTTTGTGTCACATTGGGAAACATGGATTTATGGCTCTTTATGGTACCATCTAGGTTATCAATAAAAATAATGAATTGTTGAGGGCCAAGCTCAGATCATTTACCAACTGGAACATGTATTTAGGCCCTGGAGTCTGCTATTAATAATTCCAGTGTGGCATACAAAACAGGCACATATTTGATCTTCTCTATGGTCACTGTTAGTGTTGTTCTATATTTGACTGACACTTATCGTAGCACGATAATTGATCTGTGTCACATCTTCCCTCCACTTGTGACAGAATACATCTGTACTGTTTTCCACTTTAGCCAAAAGGTAATGGATTTAATACAAGCTAATTCATGAAAGTTTCTGTGTCCCTTCTGTTTCCAAAGTGGAAACGAAACTGAGTCAGATAATCCTATAATGTAAGTGTTGGACACTATTTTGAACATATGTTGAGGATATGGGCAGAGCATAAATAGTTCACTGAGATATTATAGAAAAAATAAAATGATACTGACATTCATGACTGAGAATCAATGGGAGTAAATTTCCATGGAGCTTTCTTTCCCAGTTATCCATGGAAACTTTGGTATAAGTCCTGAAGAATGTGTAAACAACATTAATTCTAACTTTCCGGCGACCTGTAGCCTTTCCAGCAAACTTTTAACAAATGAGTGGAAGGGCTTTCGGATGAAGAAAGAACTTCAGGGTCTTTTACTAATGTTTGTATCCTAGATAAAATTGATGTATTGCTTCAAAAGTGAATTATTTAACTGAGTTTTTAAAGCGTACTTATGGTCCTGGGTTTTACCCTGCCACTTGTTTCATAGTGACAGCATTCATAATTTGTCCATTTAACACGCACAGTCTAAGAGCAATAAAGTTTCCAAGTGTCAGTTACAAAATCAACACAGTCACTAATGTTGCCAACTTTCTTTTTTGCAAAAATATACTTATGGATAATTTATGAATAAATTACAAACCAATTCATATCTGAATAAAAATATCTCATTTCTCATTTGAGCATTGCATACTTGGATGCCTCTTTGAAATGCCAAAGAGAAGACATTAAATACATTTAAATTGTCAAATCCGAGTGGTGCTCATTAAATATTTATAAACTTACACTTCCAACAGTCAAACATTAAATTTAAAACTTTGTCATTTTCTTGTGATATTTTCTTGTAATGGGAGACTTTAGGCCGGATTTTTAACCCATTTAAAATCCACTCATTTGCAAGAGTTAAAATTAGATCCCTTCAATTTATTACAGCCTTTGCCCTTAGACATATATTGGCATGAAAGTGATTGGTAATTTTCATCTATTATCCCACAAAATGGCATTATTCAGCTATACTCCAAAGCTTATGATTTTCATTGCTTTTCTTATGACAATTGCCTGTAGGATGGCTATGTAGTGGTTCTGTATTAAACAAGTGTAGGGCAGTTCTGGAAAAAAAATAGAGTTTTCTTTTGCAATGGAGTAAACATAACAGTTTATTTCAGTATATCCTCAATAACAGAATTAATCATATTAAAATTTATAAAGCAACATTTTCCCGATTTTACACAAACAGATTTGATTACACCAAGATATATCCTTTTATGTTTCAATGGCTGTTGGCAGCTGTCCAGCCTGGTGATCATTCTTACTGTATATTTTGAACAATGAATCTTGGTGGACTGTTTTACCATAGAGTTCACCACAGCCTGTCCTGTTCTTACCTAACCTCAAAATAGACACCCATATCACATTTTCTAGAAGGACACCTGCCAGTACAATAGACTACATCACTTGATTTCAAACTGTCAATCCAAATTCCCATCATGTCAATCCAATGACTAACTAATGCTCAGAACTGTTGGCTGTCCAAATCAGCAACTTCCCCTTGACGGATCCCAATGTATCATCCCTGGCTCATAGATGATCGCTTCTTACTGCTCTCTTGCATGGACAGATCTAGAAAGAGAGAATTACCTTAAAGGTAAAGGTTCTGGACCAAACTGCAGCATTTTCTGTGAACTGCTAATTAGAAACGCCACCTGGAACCAGGACACCCATTTCTTTAAATAGTCTTGCGACAGTACTATTTAAAACAATCAGTATGTAACAAATTTTTGCATTCTTTTGAACAAAGCAAAGATAGTTGTTCACATAATGGACAAAGACATTTTCAAATACATTAAAAATGTGTCCGTGTGCTGAGCGTGCATACATGTTGACTTAAATCAGCTTTTATACCTTTCAAAAGAGACTCATGACCATAGTGTGTGCAAATATGTTATTGTTCATCTGACAATTTAGTATTTTTTTTAAAAAAAAAGTGAATGCATGTAATTGTTAGTTTTTAAAATGTCTGTTCTCAGTGCAGCAAGTGTCACAGGAACTGATTTTCCAGCATGCTGCTCCATTGTTTGGTGAAGCATAAATTTGTGGTCACATTTATCTAACTTAGAGGAAGTGCGAAACAGAGGCAAGATGTTTGTGAGGAGAAATGAGAGGTTAAGCAATTCTTCATTATTCCCCAGTGATCAACTGTAGAGTGGTACCAGCTGATGTCTCAGAGCAAGAAACTGCTTTAGTTTGTTCTGCGATGTGGGTGTTGCTGGTTTGGCCAGCATCTATACCCACCTCAAATTACCCTGGACTTGGTGATGGTGAGCTGCCATCTTGAACTGCTGCAGCCATTGGTGTATGGCACCTACAATGCAGTTAGGTAGGGAGTTTTGTGATTGGTTTTTTTTTTTTTTTTGATCCAGCAACTATAAAGGAACAGCAACAAAGTTTCAAGTCAAGGTGGCTTGGGGAACTTGCAGGTGGTGCTGTTTCCATATATCTGCTTTCATTGTCCTTCTGGGTAGTAGCGATGGCAGGTTTGAAATGTGCTGTCAAATAAGTCTTGGGGAGTTGCTGCAGTACATGTTGTAGATGGTATACATTGCTGCCACTGTGTGTCACAGGCTGAGAGAGAGCGTTTAAGGGAGTGGTCCTGGCGTCAAACAGTCAGGTTACTTTAGCCTGGATGGTGCCATTCTTCCAGTATGTTTTTGGAGCTGATTTTTGCCAAGCAAGTAGTGTTTCAGGCTTCACTTCTGCCTTTTGAAAGTTCGAAGGCGGGTTGCTTGTGAAAGAATTCCCAGCATCTAACCTGCTGTTATAGCTGCAACATTTATACGGTTGGTCTAGTTAAGTTTGCTTTGTCAATGGTAATCTCAGGATGTTGATAACGGAGGATTCAACAACAGTAATGCAGTTGAGTGTCAAGGCAGATGTCAGCTTCCTTGTTGTTTGAGATGGTCTTCTGGCATTCCTCATCCCAATCTTGAATTAAATCTGCAGTAGGTCTTGCTGCACATGAAAACACTGCGTCATAATCTGAAGAGTCAGAATGGTATTGAATACTGTGAATTTTGTTTTTAATTCACCTGTGGGACTTGGGCATCACTGGCTGGCCAGCATTTATTGCCTGGCAATTGGTTGAGAAGGTGATGGTGAGCCACTTTCTCAAACCACCACAGATCATGTGCTGGAGGTAGACCCACAATGCATTTAGGGAGGAAATTCCAGAATTTTGACCCAACGACTACGAAGGAACGGCAATATATTTCCAAGTTAGGATGGTGATTGGCTGGAGGGGAACTTACAGGTGGTGGATGGAAATGAGTGTGGGTTTGGAAAGTGCTTTCTAAGGATCTTTGGTGAATTTCTGCAGTGCATCTTTTAGGTAGTACACACTGGTACTATCAAAGACCTCTTGCATCAGTTTTCTGATGATCAAGTGTACGCTGATGGCACAGTAATTGTCTAGACTGGATTTGTCTTGCACGTAATGGACGGAACCTTTCCGGATAATTTTCCAGATTGTAGCTGTGCTGGAATAGCTTGGCTGGGGTAAAGAACAAGTCTTCAGGACGACAGTCGGAATGTTGTCAGGGTGCATAGTCTTTGCTGTATCTAGTGAGTTCTCTTGTGTCTTGACATTTTGTGAAATTAATCAGGTTGGCAAAGAGTGGCATCTGTGATGTAAGGGATTTCAGGAGGGGATAGAGATGGATCATCCACACCAACACTCTGGCTAAAGAATTTTGCAAGTGCTTCAGCTTTGCCTTTTGCATTGATATCTCCACTATCATTAAGAATGGGGACCCTGTCGAGCCATGTCCTGCCATTGATTGTTTAATTGCCCACCACCACTACTGTCCAGACATGGCAGGACCACAGAGCTTTTATACAACTGAGCGGTTTGCTAGACCAAATCTGACAGAAGTTAAGAGTCAACCAAATTGTCGAGTCCTGGAGTCACATATAGAATAGACTGGCTAAGGACATTTCTGTCTACTTTATCATCCAAGAAATGACTTTGAGAGACCGTGTGTTTGAAATACAGCAGGAAATAAAGTTAGAAAAGGATAAAATTAAAAACACTGGTAGTTACTAAATTTGATAAATTCTTCTTTCAGCAATAGTCGCAGAAGAAGCTGAGAAGTGCTGCCTTGAGAATATTCAACCCTACCTGGCTTCTATATTGGATGAATTAATGGGACTGATCAGTTCAGGATTCACCGAAGTCCGTTCTCTCTTTGAAACCAAAGTTGATGAATTAAGTGCAAAATGTCAGGATGCTGGTGACACTGAAAAACTGAAAGAGGTAATTATTGTATTTTACATGATCTAATTCTTCCATTCCTAAATTTCCATGAAAGGAACTTGTAGCTCCACAATGCCATTTGTGGGACATCCACCCCCACCACTCTCAAACATTTTTGGAATTAGTTCCAATGATCGGATTAGACTTATCCTCCAGTGTTCAGTTACATGCAGAAGAAATTTATAGCTGGAAAATTAAAGAGCCATGGAGTAACCATGGGACAGAGAACCATGCACAGTAGGTTCTGATGTGAGCACTGATGCTGTCAAAGATCAGCAGAATGCATTGGAACCATCATGAGTTAATTTCCTCTTGCTACAAGATATTTTTAGCTCTCAGAATGCAAGATATTTTAGTTCAGTTTTTTGCAAAAACTGCTTCCTGCAAATTTGAGTAACTAAAAGACAGGCTGGACTTTGAACTGGAACATACATTTGGAATTGGACTTTCCATGTGGAAGTGCAGTCAGGTGGCTGTAATCCAACATGCAAAGTTAGCTGGATTTCAACGCAAAATTGGCCGTTTCATTCAATAGGATCTAAATGATAGCTCTTGAAGGTATTCAGCTGCTGAACTGGTGCTGTCTTTCAGAAACTGAAGTTCATGTGTATTATTGAGACCAGAGTAAAGAGAGTTACACATTTCCTTCAACATGCCATTTAGTTTCAAGAAAGATTCTCAATGTTTTTTTTACATTTTGTTTGTGCCCTCACTCTAATGAGTGTGCCTCCGGTGAAGCGTCAGTGTTATGTCCCGCTTGCTATTTGTGTGTCTCAGTTTGCTGGGGTGGGTTGCATCACTTCCGGATTTGATTCTTAGCGGTTGGTATATGGGGTCCAGCTCTACATGTTTGTTAATGGAGTTCCGGTTTGAGTGCCAGGACTTCAAGAATTGTCATGCGTGTGTTTGCTTGGCTTGTCCTAGGATGGCTACGTTGTCCCAGTTGAATTGGTGTCCCTCTTTTTCCAAGTGTATTGACATGAGTCTTAGTTGGTCATGTCTCTTGGTAGCTAGTTAGTATTCATGAATCCTGATGGCTAATTTCCTTCAGGTTTGCTCTATGAAATGTTTTTGGCAGGGTTTGCATGGTATCTTTGTAAATAACGTTGGTTCTCTTAGTTGTGGTTGTCTGATCGTTTATTCTCGTCCGTAGCTGTCGTAGTGTAGCTGTCGGTTTGTGGGCTACCATGGTTCCTAGGGGGCAGAGTAATCTGGTGGTCATTTCAGATGTGCTTTTAATGTATGGTAGGCTGACTAATATCTCTGAACATGTTGTGCTTTCCTGTTGTGTAGGTATCGATGGGCTACACTTTTCGGGTAACCGTAGTTTCTGAAGACGCTAAAGATGCACAACATTTAATTTGAAGCAAATTTACAAATTAGCAAAATTAAAATTGCTTATCTGTCCATGAACAGATAATGAGTTAGTATTCAAAGAACAAACAACTTTCTACAGCTTTATCCTTATCAACAGTAACCTAAACTTTAGGAAAATACTTAATGTTTAATTACTATTTTCTCATTTTGATGTTTTTTTGTTTAGTACTTGAATCAACTGATGAACCTTCCTTTTAATGCTGTGAAGATGCAGCCCTGTTATAATAAAGTTAGCCCTCTTCAAGACCAGCTTCAGGAGTTGAAGAACCGATTCAAGTTCACCAATACACAATGGCTTATTCAAACAACTCAGAACATCATGCAAGAAGTAGGTACAACACTGTAGGTTGCTCACTGGCATTTCATCATCAGAATGCCAAGATGGCCACCATCATGTGATGTCACATGGCCCGAAAAGACCTCAGGAGAATGTGTCATTGACACCATTAGGCTGGGGCCTGGGGGCCAAGGAGGCTCTGGCTGATGAAGTGGAGCTTCCCCTTCTTGATAGTGTTTGCACATAAGGTCTCTTTGGCCACTATTCCTTCCCCATGCTCACCTAGCACCCTCAAGTTTCTGTGCTGCGCAGTAATGAGAGCCCTGCCTGTTGCCTGCCTCCCCTCACCCCATCAGACCTGCCTTTCACCAGCTGTGCACCCCCAACCCACCATCCCTGACCTACCTCCTTGTTCAGACCTAAAATGGCTACCAGTGCATGCACAGACAGGGCTGGTAGGTGAACCTGATGGAAATGTTAGTAACTATTCCTGAATAGTTTGTGTATGTGGATTGTGTGACATGACACTTAGCCATAGAGACCAAATGGTTCTCTAGACACACAAATGCTAGTAGGAGACAGATGTATGGCTTAATTTAGGAAATTGAGTTTTGTTTTGCAATTAGCAGAATGCCATCTCTCTGCCTGTACTTCAAATATGATTAAAACTACAATATTCGTTAATAAGTGGCAATTGTATAATGATGAAGATTTTGAGTTAAACACATGGGCTGAATTTTCCCAACCCATTAGCATTGGGTAATTGGGTAATGGTTGCTAGGTGTCTGGGAAAAGCACTGGAGAGGAACTTGATATCTCCCCATTGCTGTGGCATTTTTCCAGCGGAGGGACAATTGGCCCTTCTCACTGGATGGCCAACTGAGCCATTTATGTGTCAAATGATGGTAACTTCCCAGCTGCTTCAGCAGAGAAGCTGCCACCCAGGAGAAGTTTTGTGGAGCAACCCTCCTTCATGGGCAATCCATGGCCCATGAAGCACCTGATGACAATGACACCTTTCTGCCAGTGGCACTGGTGCTCAATAATGGCACCTGCCCTCTTTTAATTTGCCAGGGTCTGCCTGCCTAACTGCACCATCTCCAACCTAACTAGCCAATCAGTGGGGCCGTAGTGCCATTGTGGATGGCTCCATACCTGGAACTGCAGCCTCCGAGTTGACCAGCAGGGCCAATAAGAATGCTGACCTACTGGCTACTTGATTGATCCAGAAACAAATCATCTTGCTTAATTAGTCACAGCCAGCACCATGCCCCCAAGGTCCTGCCACTAGCTGAAGTGGATCAGCTCCTGCTATCAGCCTTGTCCCAGGACTTCAAGGTAGATGACAGAATTCAGCCCATTTAACCTTTGGTTCCTAATTGATAGTTAATGAGTTAAAGCTACCATTTATTATCCTCAGCTAATGGACAATGCGGTCTACACATTTGAACAACTATTGTCTGACTTGATGAAGAGTAATCCATCAAAAATAACATCGATTGAAAAAATTAAGCAACGAGTGTTGAAGGTAAGGAACTTACAAAACACTAGAATGCATTAATACTTAAGATACTTGTTGATGTTTTTCTAATCAACCTTTTCAAACATGTTATTTTATGCCTCTGGAGCAGTTGAGACTTGAACCCCAATCTCTGGCTTAGAGGTAGGGATACTATCTCTGTGCTATAACAGCCCTTGCAAATTAAATCTAACTTCCACACTGGACTTAACTAGTTATCAGTAAAGTCATTTTATAAAGTTCTATCCACTGATGTGTTCCATTCTGACACTTGCTACACAGAGTAGGGGTAAAGACAACCCTATGTGACTGGTGACTTAACAAGTGGTATCTGTGATGAAGCATCATTGGATATAACAATGACTTCTATGATGGATACAAGTTATATATCCAGGTGCATATGACATTACTCAGGAGGCTTAGCAATGTGTGTAGATGGAACTTACAAATGGATTAGACTGAGCGAGTGGAAAAATCAATGGCAGATGAATTTTAATGCACAAAAATGAGCTCATTTGGTTTGGATGTCAGAAAATCAAATGGAATCTGACAATCAATGTTCGAAGTAGTGTTGGACGAAAGGGACATAGCCATCCATGTGCACAAATTACTAAATGTTAGTCTAGAGAAAGAAATCAAGGCTGATAAGAAAATGTTGCCTTTATCTCAGGCTGAGATTACAAAAGTGACGTAGTTATCTCTGATTAGAGCATGTAGAGAACAGTACTCAGTTTGAGCACTTATTCTTAGGAAAAATATATTTTCCTTGTAAGAGGTACAAATTCACCAAAATGATCTCAAAGCTAAATTGTTAAAACAGATTACATAACTATTTTGCCCTTTAGTTTAGAACATTGGAACGGTTATCAAATTGAGTTATTTTAAAAATAATAGATTGATTTGTTAGGTTAGATGCAGAAAAACTCTGATCTGAGGGTGGCAGGGTGTGGGTTGAGGGGCCAGGGGGGTGGTGGGGATCTGAAACCAGGGCACATAATGTAACATTAAAGCTAGGCCATTTAGCAGTGAAACCAGCAAACAACTCTTCACACAGGTTTGTGTGGGAAAAAGCATGTAGATGCTGAGTGAATGAAAATGTGCATGGGCTGAGTGTAATAGATTTATTTTAGGTAATATTATCAATGCTGTTACACAAGGGAACATGCGCATTGATGTCTTTTAGGAATATAATTATAAGTATATACAAATAACAATTAAATGTAATATTTTAATAAAATAAATCCGGTCACAAAAGTAAACTGTAAAACAAAGAAGAACTTTGATAACGTTCAATAATCTGCTCAATATTGTGTGCATGCATGTGTAGTCAGAAATAATCGGCTGTGTTAAAAATAAATTATTTAATGAATGTACTTTAATAACCAATAATATTGTTTTACAGTGATCACAAATATAAAGACTAAAACTAAGTAAATCTTTCCTTTTCATAGTCAATAGTGACCTTTTATAGAGGTTTATAAAATCATGAGGGGCATGGATAGGGTAAATAGACAAGGTCTTTTCGCCAGGGTGGAGGAGTCCAAAATCAGAGGGCATAGGTTTAAGGTGAGAGAAGAAAGGTTTAAAAAGGACCTAACGGGCAGCTTTTTTTATGCAGAGGGCGGTGCGTGTATGGAATGAGCTGCCAGAGGAAGTGGTGGAGGCTGGTACAATTACAACATTTAAAAGGCATCTGGATGGGTACATGAATAGAAAGGGTTTAAGTGGCGTATGGGCCACATGCTGGCAAATGGAATTAGATTTATTATAGACATCTGGTTGGCATGGACAAGTCGGACTGAAGGGTCCGTTTCCCTGCTGTACATCTATGACTCTAATTGTTTTAATATTGTGCTCTTGTGCATTGGGCTTTGGTGACAATGACCATTGATGACAGCAAACCAATTCTATTATCAAGGGATATGGAGCAATGCACAATAAATAGGGTTCAGCTAAAGAACTGTCATGATAGAATTGAGACAGTCTTGATGTGTTGAATGGCATTGCCCTGTTCCCATGTTCTTGTTTTAAAAATTGCCTTGATTTGCTGAGTAACCTCTAGTTGAAGACATTTGTGCATATAGGCAGGCAGAGCTTTACTCAGTGAGCGTGTATAATGTCAAGCACAAGGCACATCAGCAAATCGGGCATCTGAGATGACCAGGGAGAGAGTCAGGTGCCAATTCATTTCAATACTAAAGGGATCTGGTTTTAGGACTTTATTGAAACCTTTTCTTAATCATTGGTTCTTAGACACTCCTGGGCCGTCTCCAGTTATTTTAAGATATTAATGTTTTTGCCCTTGCGCTATTATTGATATCAATAGGTCTTTACTGGGAATCCTTTTATTTGATGCGACTGGAAATAAAGGGAGAATCCGTGGAGAGGAGCCAGAAAGGTCATCCAGGCAAACTGTGCCTTTCCAATCGTAGCTGCCCATGCAAATGTGTAGTTCAATATAAGAATTATTACATTCACTGTTGATTATGAAATGAGTTATATTTAACATATAGTGAAAGTTAAATCTTAACATCTAAATGAATATCATTGCTTTGTTTTCTTTAATTTTGCCTTGAGCTTGGCATATTTAAAGATTGTTTTCTCTCCTAGCAATTTGATCATGACAGCAGCACTGTAAGAAAGAAGTTGTTCCAAGAAGCCCTGGTCCAAATTGCATTGCCAACACTACAGAAAGCATTGGCACCAAATTACAAGCGTGTAAGTGACACATTACTTCAGTTTGCAATTGTATTATATTATAAGAAACTGCACTCCCAGTGCCAAGATTCCCACATTGGGAGGCAGAGTGAAGAATTAGATAGAGAGCTTGGTGCAATCAATTTGCAATCTTCTTGAGTGCTTGCAGTGGAAAATTCTGTCAAGCAAAGGCTTATGGAGTTCTCTTCATTTCACTAAAACATCACATGTAAAATTGAGTAGAGATTTGGGATATGAGAGTGCCAACATTTTACACTTACCTGAAATTCCTCAGGTTGATAGTTTAGTAGTATCAATACCTCATGGATGAGGTCCAAGATTCAAATTGAAGAGTGGAATTTCGGTAAAACATGTTAAGCAAGAAACAAAGTGCTGGAGAAACTCAGCAGGCTTGGCAGCATCTGGAGACAGAAATAGAGTTAAGGTTTCGAGTCCAGTTTGACGACTTTTCAGAACTGCTTTTATTAAATATGTTGTGTTCCTTTTTGCTAATATTCCACAGGGTTAAAAATAGGGGTTAGGGATGATTTTCCTACTTCTGCCTACTTTTATGTATGTTTATTACTATCGCATTTATGTTACAGAACTGCTGAGTATAAACAGCTGGAGTATTCTTGGTTAAAATCGAATCAGAGATAGTAGGAACTGCAGATGCTGGAGAATCCGAGACAACAAGGTGCAGGGCTGGATGAACACAGCAGGCCAAAAACTGCTCCTATGATGCTGTTTGGCCTGCTGTGTTCATCCAGCCCTGCACCTTGTTGTCTCGGAGTATTCTTGGTTGCTATTTACTCAAGGCGACAGGGGTCTCACTTGGACAGTAGGTGAAAGCCCCCTGGCAATGGAAGTGCCAAACTGGGCTCCCCTTTCACCCACCACTCCCCACCCCTGCGAGAGCTGCTGGTCAACCTGAGGCCATGACTGTGCACTGCTCAGTGGCATCACTGGGGAACTGGTTGCAGCTACTGGTAATGCACCCACTTGACACTCGCTGGGGGGAGAGGGAGGGAAGGAAGGAAGAGGGTGAGGCCGCAAAGGCAGGAGTGGGACTACCTTCCTAATCCTGAATCCCCTAATGCGTTGTTATGAGCAAGGTACCCCCCAACCCAAAAACCAGACCATGCACACCCCTCCTCTCTCTGAGCAGCTCAGATAGGGTTTGCCTTTGGGTTTCCAAGATATTGAATCCCTCAGTTGAACATCAGCAGCGGGAATAGGGCTTTAAGCAGCAGGGGGACTAGGGCGTACAGTTCTGGTCGCCACATTACCAAAAGGATGTGGATGCTTTGGAGAGGGTGCAGAAGAGATTCACCAGGATGTTGCCTGGTATGGAGGGTGCTAGCTATGAAGAGGTTGAGTAGATTAGGATTATTTACATTAGAAAGACGGAGGTTGAGGGGGGACCTGATTGAGGTCTACAAAATTATGAGAGGTATAGACAAGGTGGATAGCAAGAAGCTTTTTCCCAGAGTGGGGGACTCCATTACTAGGGGTCACGATTTCAAGGTCAGAGGGGAAAAGTTTAAGGGAGATATGCGTGGAAAGTTCTTTACGCAGAGGGTCGTGGGTGCCTGGAACAGGTTGCCAGCAGAGGTGGTAGAGGCGGGCACGATAGCGTCATTTAAGATGTATCTAGACAGATACATGAATGGGCAGGGAGCAGAGGGATACAGATCCTTGGAAAATAGGCGACAGGTTTAGATAGAGGATCTGGATCGGCGCAGGCTTGGAGGGCCGAAGGGCCTGTTCCTGTGCTGTAATTTTCTTTGTTCTTTGTTCTTTGTCCTTTGATATCTGTGAGCCTTCCTGACCCACACTTAATCAGAGGCCGAGGTGGGAAGGCAGCAGGGCCCCTACTCTGCACCCTCCCACCTAATTAAATGCCCCGCTGCCACCAAACTCACCTCAGGAGAGGGCATTAAATTCCGATCCTAGATCTTGATTCTGTGGGATCTGCCTGGTTTAAATTTCAGGGCAGGATCAACAACTTCAGAAACAGTTGCTGAAAATCAAAATTCACATTTCATCTTAGATAACAAGGTGTAGAGCTGGATGAACACAGCAGGCCAAGCAGCATCAGAAAGCTGACGTTTCGGGCCTAGACCCTTCCTTTCATCTTGTTCTTTTCACTTGCCTTTCCCTGAAGACTGGGCAAGACTTGATGTGATTTGGGAGGAGTTGCTGACCTGAGCAGTAGATCAGTCTGTCACTGTGCAGGGATAGCAGCTGTAGTTGCTGGAGATATCTTTTTATACCGTTGTTCACTTGAGATCCCTGGAAGTGAAGTTTAGAATATTTGGGCACTTATTACTTTTTTTTTCCCATCTGTATCCCTGGGAATCAAATAGCAGCCATCAATGGAGGGGTTTAAAGTCCTGAATATCTGCTGCTTCAGAGGAATGAGAGAAAAATAAATATTGCCGTCAGTTAAAGAAAGGAAAACAACTGAACCCAAATAGAGGGAAATGTATCAATTAGGAATGGGAATTGAGTTTGTAGCTTGAAGGATGCACCAGATCTTGCTGTTACAATAAACTTTTGAGGTTACAAATTACGCTTAATCTTCATTCTGAAAGTTTAAAATTGGTGATCTTCATAGGCTCCTCATGAATCGGTATGCAATGTTTATCTTTTGTTTAATCCAATTGTAACTATTTTCTTAAACAGGATTAAACTCCCCAATTAATAAGTAATTGCTCTAAATCTCATTTCTGAAATGTAACAAAAAATAACGACTTTATTTGAAATAATGCTGTGCAACAATGGGCACAGATAGTTATAAACTGGAATTTCTCCCTCTGCTGCAGGGGTATTATAAAATAATGACTTTATGAAAACGAGAGAGAGACAGATTAAGCAGAGGTATCCACCATCAGAGCAATTCTGATACCTACACTATTTATTTTCAATTTTTTTTTTGCATTTAAATAATCAGTGACTTGTCTGTAGTATACAGATCCAGTTAGACAGACGTCAGGGTCAGGCTTTATCTCCGATCAAGACAAAATGCCATACAGTGGCGGTGTACCTACCTCTGGACCAGGAGGCCAGGGATCGGAGATGGAGCTTGGGAGATATGGAGGCTGCAAGGGGACTGGGAAGAAATGGGGAAACTACTGGCTGCAAAGGAGAGTGAAAGAAACCGGGAAGCCCTTAGAGGTTTTGGAGACAGACAGAGGCTGCAAAGTATGAGAATATTTCAAAAACGTCAACAAAGGAACATTCAGCTAACAGGGAGAAAGAAAATTTGAAATTACTTAAGTAATTAGCAAATTAATGTGGTATCTCTAAAGGTGTTGCATGTTCAGGAGCTACCCTATGGGGGAAGATTGTAGTAGGTCCCATTGTAATGAACACTTCTCAATTATTAAATTTAAATCTGGAATTAAGATCTGAGATGCAGAGAAAAGACTAGTAATTTCTGGGTTAATGTATTCTGGCTTTGTGAATATATGATGGAAATGCATTAGCTCGTACTTCACCAATATGCTGAAGTTGTGTTCAGGGTGATGGCTTTTGTGTTTAAATGTATGGGTCAGTTATCTTTTTTTTAAAAAAAAGTCTTTTGTTTCTTTATGTCTGTCCTGGTTTGTTGTGGGTTTAAAGTTAACTGGAGTTGATAATGATTGAGGATATTGATTTAATTCTTCTGGTTCTGATTGTATAAGTCCAAATACCCCATATATTAACACAAAAACAGAAGATAATGTTTTATGTGACTCCATCACCTTTATAAAGAAGTGACTCGGAATAAAAAAAAAGTGCCTCCCTGCTTCCTTTAGCCAAACAGATTCCCTCAAGAGACAAAAACAAATTCCTGGAAAAGCTCAGTGGGTCTGGCAGCATCTGTGGAGAGAAATCATTTAATGCTTTGGATTCTATGGAAGGGTCACTCCACCCAAAGCATTAACTTTGATTTCTCTCCACAGATGCCGCCAGACCTACTGAGCTTTTCCAGTAATTTATGTTTTTGTTTCTGCTTTACTGCATCCACAGTTCTTTCAGTTTTTTACTTAAGATCCCTTGGTGAGGGAGGGGTAGAAACATTGTGCCCTTGTCAGCAATAAATGGAGGGGATGGCTCTCAACAGCTCCACCTGTCCACCTTCCTGACGCCATGCTTCTCGATTTACATACTGAGTATCTTTGAGGGTGGGTCTCCCCAACAATCCTGAGGAAATGACAGACAGTCTGTACAGCTTTACTTGTTCTGCCGACAGTGACAGACCTACCTGCGTCTTGGTAAATACTGGCAGTGTTAGAATGTACCCCTTAATTGCTCATGAGTTGTCTGCTGAAGGGCCTTAATCGTTGTGGGACAGGAAGACCGATAACAGACATTTTCACCCCAAACTTAACCAAGTTGGAGTAGGAGATGATGGAGTATCTGTGATGAGGATATGTAATCAACTCTGTTGTATTCAAAGATCTCGTGCAATTAACCAAAAGGAATTTTTCAGACATATGTCTTAAATGATATTCTCCTCATGGCTACAACTTTTAGCTGAAGAGACAATGTGAATATCTGAATTGAGGATGGTTAAAAATAAACCATTTTGCTGGTTAGCAAAGAGCTGAACATCAACTTCATTTTCTCCTTGAACAGGAGCTCCAGAAGTTTGAGGAATACATCTTTGCAGATTATACAAAGCTTATTCAAGTGGAGAATATCTATGAAGAAATCTTACTTGAGACTGTTCTCAAGGAGGTGGTCAAAGGTGAGTGTTTTGTTTCTAAGTGCCAACCTTAGAAAATTAGCTGAAACTTCAACATGGCTGGTACAGTTCTGGAAGACCAACAACTTAAATACAATGGTGATACAACAGCACTTAGTCTGGTCATTTAACCTCGGGTATACCCAAAATGTTTTGATTTTTCATTAAAGAGAAAAAGATCTCCCAGCTAGTTTCATGCTCACCTGCTCAGTATGGGTTAAGGTAGGAAGGAGATGTTTTAGTACTGTGAACTGACTTAGGCAGCTATGAAATATGGCTCATACGTAATAGCCAAATATCATGTACGTTTTTTTATTCATTTGTGGGACGTGGGCATTGCTGGCTGGCACTTATTTCCTATGCTAGTTGCCCTTGAGAAGGTAGTGGTGAGTTGCCGTCTCAAACCCTGGCAGTCCATGTACTGTAGGTTGACCCACAATGCCCTTAGGGAGGGAATTCCAAGATTTTACTCAGCAACACTGAAGGAACGGCAATATATTTCAAAGTTGGGTGATGGTGAGTGGCTTGGACGGGAGTTTGCAGGTGGTGGTGTTCTCATGTATGTACTGCCATTATCCTTCTAGATAGAAGTGGCTGCAGGTTTGGAAGGTGCTGTCTAAGAAACTTTGGTGAATTTCTGCAGTGCATCTTGCTGCTCTTGGGCGTCGGTGGTGCAGGGAGTGGATGTGGTGCCAGTCATGCAGGCTGCTTGTCCTAGATGGTGTCAAGCTGGCAACTTTGTCACTACACTCAACCCCATGCCTTACATTCAATTTATTGCTATCCACTGTTGAAAAGTTCGGTTATTCATTGTTACTTTAAAATTGCCTGTTGCAGTGATTTCCAGGCTTCCCATTGCTCACTATGTATTGATTACAACACTTCTAAAAATCTGCTGACTAAATTCTACATGCAGCAAGTCTTGTTCATCCATCACCACTACTTTTGCTGAGCTTCATTGTTCCCCAATCACCAATTTTCCACTATTTGAAAATTCTCACCCTCCTCTGATCCAAGTTCTCCAAGTTATAATCTCCTTCAGATTTCCAGATTCTTCATTCTTCTGACCTCTTGAGCATCCATCCTCCTTTGACCCATTATTGGTGATCATGCCTTCAGTTGCACTTTCTCTCTATGTCCACTTCCTGTGCATCTTCCTACCCTCCTTTAAGACTCTCTTTAAACCCAAATCTTTGAGCTTTTAGCTAACCATACTTCTATTTCTTTTGGCTTGGCCTCCACTTTTGACTAACTTTCTGTCAAAATTTTTAGTAGAAAAGTTGCATTTCATTAAGGTAAACTACACGGTTTTAATTTGTTGTCATTTAAGAAACAACTTATTTTTTCTTCATAGTGGTGAATGAAGCTGCCATCTTGAAGAAACACAATCTGTTTGAAGACAACATGACTTACACTAGTGACAGTGATAGCAATCTCACTGACAAAAATGAAGGAAAGACTCCACCAGATTCTCAATCAAGGAGTCCTGCTAAAACATCATCCGAAGGGTCAGATGCTGAGGGATTAGAAACTGAAGAAAAAATGACTTCACAAATGTCTAGCCCTGCAACAGAATCTTCATTGAATGAGAAACAGGAATGCGAACCGTCATCAGCCTCTCAGGATAACATTCTTCAAACTACATTAGGTTCTAAACAGAGTGGAGAAGTGATTGTGCAAGTAGATGCCAATCAGGAACCTGACAAACTAATTACGTTAGATAATCCTAACAATAATGATGATGTACCAACAAGTGAATACCAGAACAGACAAGCTGAAACACAAGAAGAAAGGATACATGCCCCAGCTCCCGATAGTTTAAAAGAAATACATGATCTGTTAACAGTGGCAGTTGTGCCAGTTGAAGAGGGTCCTGAGACTCAGAAAGCTATTCCGTCTAATGATGAAAGCCATAGTCAAGTTGACAAGGAATCTAGTCCAAAAGTGGACGAACATTTTAAGGATATAGATGAAATGAAAGAGGATGATGTGTCCACAGTTGAACTTGTGGATGGTCAAAGTGAGGAAAATAAGGAGCCTAAAGTAGAAAACATACTGGCACCATTTGAGGAACTTGTGGAAAGCCACAGTGAGAAAGCTAATGAACTCAAAGCCTTGCAATCAACAGTTGAGGAACTTGGGGAAGAACAGAGTGAGGAAGATGATGAATCTAAAGGCTCACAGTCAACCGTTGAGGAGCTTTTGGAAGACCATGGTGAGGAAGATAAGGAACCGAAAGGCTCACCACCCACAGTTGAGGATCTTTTGGAAGAGCATGGTGAAGAAGATAAGGAACCCAAAGGCTCACCATCCACGGTTGAGGATCTTTTGGAAGAGCATGGTGAAGAAGATAAGGAACCCAAAAACTCACTATCCACGGTTGAGGAGCTTTTGGAAGAGCATGGTGAGGAAGATAAGGAACCCAAAAACTCACTATCCATGGTTGAGGAGCTTTTGGAAGAGCATGGTGAGGAAGATAAGGAACCCAAAAACTCACTATCCATGGTTGAGGAGCTTGAACACAAAACCTCACCAACAATTGAGGAATGTATGAAAAATCAGAGTGAGGAAGAGGAGTCAAAAGAAGACTTAACAGCAACAGTTAATAATGTGCCAGATGAAGATAAAGCTACAGAACCACTAAAGCAAAATGAATGTCCAGAAAATGAGCCTTGTGTTGACAACATTGAGTCTAATCATGTTTCTGAAAGTACTCCAATGTTGCACAAGGAGGGAGTTCAAGAAGTGCAAACTATAGATACAACAGACACTGAAATAGCACTTGAATATTCTGAAAAGGACAAGGAACAAAATACATTGAGCCCGGATGAAGCTAACGAGGATGAGAAAGATTCACAAATGTAGATCATCATTGATGTAAAAAGAAAAGGGAAGGAATTGGTGGTAAGTGACCCATCATTGCAGTAAGCAAATCGATTGAATCACCAAACAGTGAACGAAGCATCTTGATGATCGAACTTCATTAAAACAATTTGAAGAACACCAAAAAACCCTAGTTCTACTTTTACCTGAGGCCTTTGCTGAGAGATTTCATCATATTTTGTTTTCTAGATTACACTGAGCTGCACTTCCTATTCTTGTGCTATCCTTTTGAAGTGACAAGAGAAGAAATCTGTTCTTGATTTTCTTTTGTCTTTTTCACCATGTAAGGCTTCAAGTGGGTTCAGAGTGATTCGGAATGAATGGGCTGGAAAAAAATAAACCAGAGCTTACACTCAAGTGCGCCAAATGATAATTGAAGAGTGTGCTATTTAAAAAATAAAGATTGTGAAAAAGAATGGAACAGTTTGTATCACAGAAGAGGTGGCTATTATCACAAATCAAAACAACTACAGGAGGTTCAAAGCCAGCAACTTTCTTTGTAATATTAACAATAATCTTCAAAATAGATTATATGTTCAAGTCTGCATTCAAGTTTTGGACAGTATCCACAAAAAGATAGACATTGTAAACCGATATAATTTAGTTTCTTGCTGCAGCTGTTCACTTAATGTATAAAGGAATTACTAAAATCATGTCTGATTTTCACATGCTGACAATTCTTGGAATACTGTACAATTATTTGCATTACTCTGTTTATAACATAGAATTTAGGCTTCAGTTCAGTATAGTTTTAGCCATGAATTAAAACCTGCAATGTAATCATTTAGTAGAATGCTGAGTTTAGATTTATGCCAATGCCAAGACTTCATGCCTGTATGATCACTTTTTCTTCTTTGCTGTTCAACATAAGTGCAGCAATAGATCTCGCTGTTATTTGTTGATTAATGGAATTAATGTCAATGTTTGTGTGACTCCACATTTTCTAACATTCTAGCAGCTTAAAGTGATACTAGCTTCTGTTTGTTTTTTGCACTTCAGGGTTTGGCAATCGCTGTTATCCTGCTCTAAAGTATAGTGTAAATAGAGCAACCATAATACTTCAAATGCAGCATTCACTTTGAGTTAAGAACCAATAACAAAAAGTTGGATGATTTCGATGCAGCCAAAAATGTACCTGCTCAGCAGTCATTTCTTTCAAACTTCAATATCAGTGTCCACTGCTGAAGTTTGAAAGAACAATTCAGGGTTATAGTTGTCAATTTCCAAACAAAAACTCATCAGCTACTTAACTAAAAATGTAAAGCCAGTCATTGCAATAAGGGAAACAGATTGAACATTTCCATTTTATCTTTCAAATTGAGGGATAGGACAGTTCTACGTTAGGACCTGGGTTTGTACTATGTGAGCAGTTCAAATCCCAGTTTCCAGGAAGATATAGAGAATGAATATCACAGGTTTCGTTCTGGAGGATAAGAGGAGGGAAAATGGGGCTTTGTCTCAGAAGTAGTCATTCTCTGAAGCTTGAGATGCATTGCAGAGATACGCTAGTTGATGGCCTCACAGCACTTGAGCTGTACGTTACAGAAAATCCAAAAGCGGGAAGAAACAAATACTTAGCAAGTGGAATTTTTAAAAAAGCATAGAATCACACTATTATGTCCAGGGCTGATGATAAATACACAGCACTAAACAATTAGAGATTATGTAACTGCGAGTATCACATCATTTTAATTGTTGTAATAAACTAACTTATCACAATTTTAAACAAAAATCTATTGATTTGCAATGGTACTCAGTGTGTCTGTTTCCTTATTCCATAGTAAAACATCTTGCAATAAAATATTGACTTTAATTAATAACTAGAAGGGAGTATTAATTGACTATGGTTATAGGATATTACAACAGTATCATCCAAATTTGATCAATGGAATAGAAGAGTTTCGTTTTCAGATAATGGCAACACATTTTTATAAAAATGCACCAATAGTCAATAAGTGTACAGACATAATGAGTCTAAAAGCTTAAATTATCCAATCCTACCCTAACTTGCATTTCATTATGTATCAAACATAGATCTTGCTTCTTTTATCTGGAATTAGAGAATCCATAAGAGTTCTAATTGAAGGTGATAATAAGTAAACCTGACTAGATGCCACACAGTTGATGTGGCATTTAAGCAATAAATGGATCCAGTATCCTTTGTTTCATGGTATGTTAAATATAATCAACTACCAATACTTTCTAAAATATTTAGCCAACTTTAATTACTTTACAAACAACTAAATACATTCCTACTGTAGTTTTAAACATGATATTGCCAAAGAGCACAGTGATGTTTGGTGGTCACTTGGTTCAGTCACATCTTTGAGTTAGCTCTATGTAACTGAGCATTCTTGTTTTATTCTTGGGTCTTCTGTTTCTAACTGTTTTAAAAAAAAAACTTTACATTTTATAATTCATTTACTTTCTCACCAAATACTCAGAATGGACAAAGTCTGCAATTGCTTTACCAAACATAACTTTTTTTTTCAGTCTGTGCTAAGTCACTTCATTTTAATTGGGGTGACCAGTCAGGACACAATTAGTAACAGGGAGCTAAAGGGAGAAAGAAAATCTGATAGGATTCCAGTTCTGGAAAGTGAATGTGTAGATACAGCTAATCGTGGGATCAGGTTTTGCTGTGCATCTTCAGTGGTACTTTGGACTGCTGACATGGATCTGACTTTTCTCTTACAGGATAGGTTTGATGCCAGAGGAGAATTTTGGTGGTCTATCCACCCACTGCTGAATCCTGTCATACTATACGGTTCTTCCTTTGTTGCTGCCAAAGGAGCAGGAAGAGATATCTTAAAGGGAAGAGGCGAAGGCCTTTTTCATTAATTAAATTCTTTCCATGAGCCTATGTAGCAAGGAATGGGAAGTTAAATGGCTTTAATTGAGGTTCAGGAGCTCTAAGTGGGTCTTTCTCCTCCAATATTCAGCTGCGTGAAATTGTTATTGCGCCACAGGACCTACCAGAGTTTCATCCCTTGTGTGTTCCTGCAGTCAGCAGTCAGCAGTAGCAGGGCCCATAAAAAGAAATATCCCTATAGGTATGTGACAGGACTATCTGGCTATGTTCCACACTACCCCACCCTAGTGCAGAGAGAAAGCTGCAGATCAGCATTACTATAGGGAAACAAAAAACGAGAAGAGAAACAGAAATCAGTGGAAAAACTCAGCATCTGTGGAGGGAAATCAGAGTTAACGTTTCGGGTGACGCGCTCCCCCCCCCCCCCCCCAGAACTGTTCTGAAGAACGAGGGCGAAGTAACCTTGTGACAGTCCTGTAGAAATCACCAGATTGCAGATCTTCCTGTCTTTAGATCCAACCAAAGATGTGTGTGCAACTGTCCAGAAGTCCCAAGGCACTGACTGCAGGAATTGACTTAAGAATTTGAATGGGAATGGGAATTCCAATGGGAAATTCTCCTGCCCCCTGGGGTCCTCTTTTTTTTTTTTTTTTTTTTAAACTCTCAGTTAAAGTCTGACACTTCAGGCATTTCTTATTCATTAACTTGGATCATTACTGCAAAATGTTAGACAGAAAAGCCCTAGTCTAGTTCCTGAGTAACTGGACAGCTGACTTTCTCAAACCATGATTTAGTTCTCTGTCCACATGGCTCCCACCGCCCCGGACCCAACCTGAGTAGCCCCCATCATCTGATCCCCTACCCCACTTCCCTCACAATCCATCCTCACTGGCCTCCAAACTGAAAACCCCTCCCCTCACCCAACCACCCTGATGCACGTACCCACTCACCCAACTGTAACCCTACACCTCACTATTGGCCTACCCTTCTGCCATATACTTAGCAGTTAATGCCACATAAAGAAGGTGTGACTTGTCTTGATCGGAATGCTCCAGCATGATGTTACATACCACATTTCCAAAGAAGCCAGGATTGAGAGACTCAGTCGGAGGAGGGAAATGTAGGAGCAGAACAACAGTCCAGTGTAATTGGCCTGGATCTTCCAGAAAGCAATGAGTTTCCAAAACCATCAATAGGATTGTACTGTAAGATAAATCTGAGTACCGTGTTACAATAAACTCTGGTTGAGGATGGAATCTCTGTTTCAGAAACATTGGAATTCCTTATTTCATTAGCTCCAACTATTCCTATACCTAGAGAAATTGTTTGAATTTTAGTCAAAACCTGGAAGAGTGAAATTGCACAATGTGGTATTACTACAAACATTTTAATATATTAGTAATTCCATACAAAGGCCGAATGTATTTTTTTTTCCCAAGTAATATACAATTTATTTTCAACTCAACTACCAGCTAATTTGGCAAGTCATTTTATATCATGATCTTAAAATCTCTGATTCTGTTGGGAGACAAAATGGACATCATTTTTAATCATAGTTTCTTCACTCACATTTTTGCCATGTCTTATGAGGCTTCCATTTCAATAGAAACTTCATGAATTGAGATAATTTTATGTTCTGTTGCAATCTGTCTGGAAACATGGACACAGCTATTTAATTTCTATTTATATTGGCTGTTTGATTCTTGAAGGTGGGAATAAGAAGGATGCACACTTTTTCTGAATAGCTTTAAATCCCCAATGAATTTCCTGAAACAGACACCTTGCCACTAAAGCAGATAGAGTAGCGGAAGCAAGAGAGCTCCAATATCAATTCACCTTTCTCTGGGTATTGTCTGGGATACACATTTATGTTCTGAATTTAAACATTTTTAATTTGAATGAGATTTGTATTATAATTAACACATACAGTGATGTTGCCGCAAGTTTCAAAATTAAATGTTTTAACAATTAATGTTTCAAATGAAGCATGCAAGTTCTTTTTCTCATGACTTCGTATTTTGAAAAACCTGTTCCTTTAATGTTGGACCTAATATTATTTTTGATGAATTAATTGTCATGATTAAAAATAACTAAAAATCCACTTCCAAAGTTTATGGTTATTGATAAAGATAAAGCAACTCCCTTCATATTCTGCAGGCCAATTGCCAATATGAATTACAGCTGGATCTTCAGAGATCTGCAGGAATTATATTGAATAAAGTACCAGGCACAGAGCTACTTTTAAATTGCTGCTTCATTTTAAATATTCTAAAACAATCTGTAATACTTTCCTGCTTAAGTAATCCTCTCATAAACTGATATATAATTCCAGAAAATGCAGTTGTCACTCAATAGGAATAGGCTCATCTATTCCCAGTTTCACAGAGAATAATAGAGAGCTGAAAGCAAAGACATTGCTATAATCCAAGTGAAAAAGGCACCGAAAGACACACACACAGGGACTGATAGCTATCGTCAAAGGTCTGAGATTGGATGCCCTTGTAATGATGCAATACCACAGATATTGTTTTTGTTTCTTTATTACTTACATAAAATTTAAAAGCAAATTCATGTAAAATAGTTTTGCCTGATTTCCATAATAACTATTTTGTGATACCTACATATGTAAAGTGCAATTAAAAATGCTGCTGGCTCTCAAAATAGAACACACAATCTTGGTGAAGGCTTAATTTATGGCATGGCCTGGAGGTGATGACCATAGTATTAAAGATAAAACTAATGATGAGATGCCTAGAAGACAATAATTTTTCTTGTCTGAAGAAAAGGTGACCCAAAAAAGATGAATTTGTTAATACTAAAATTATAAATAGTGGGCATGGTGGTTCAGTGGTTGGCATTGCTGCCTCACAGTGCCAGGGATCCAAGTTTGATTCCAGCCTTGGGTGACTGTCTGTGCGGACGTTGCACATTCTTCCTATGTCTGTGCGGGTTTCCGCCTGGTGCTCTGGTTTCCTCCCACAGTCCAAAGATATACAGGTTAGGTGAATTGGCTATACTAAATTGTCGATAGTGTCCAGTGATGTGCAGTCTACGTGGACTAACCTTGGTAAATGCAGCGTCTATAGGGATAACGTAAGGGGTTGGATCTGGGTGGGATGCTCTTCGGAGGGTTGGTGCTGACTCGATGGGCTGAATGGCCTCTTTCCACACTGTAGGAATTCTACGATTCAATAAATTATTCTCAATAATAAATGGCAGGCAGTTTCTTGGACATTTTTTTTTGCCATGAGAGTGGTTTTCTTGCTGAATCTTAGCATAGATCCTGCCCTTTGGCATTTCTCTCATCCAATTCAATTGCCATCTTACCACACACCATGTGCATAATGTGCAACATTGAAGCGCAGAAGTGAACTATAAGTGGATCAGAGATATACTATGAGGATTCCTAAAGGACGGAACATATTAGATGCCAATGCCTGTGGATGTGGGGTGCGTGTGACACATGGAGTATCCCCAGGGATATTTATGCCTGGAGACCCTTTGGTGCAAGCAGTGAGCTGAAGTCATCAGGTACCCACTCTCATTCCCATGTCAAGAATCCTCAAAGTCTAGCCTGCTAGGAAGGTGAATATTAATGAGGTGAGTTGTGGCATTAATAAGGCGATATAGCCTTAATCTCCCTTCTGGCTAAAAACTTAGCAAATGGCAAAAAACTTGACACAACTGGCACTTGCCCATTTGAGAGGAGCACTCTTCCTGAAGAACCCACAGTGGAGGCCACATCACCAGACCCTGGCAGCTCAGTCTGAGGTCATCATTTGGCTCAGTGCCTTCTCCATGATCTGGAGCAATTCACAAAGAAGGTCAATGAACTTCTTCACTCTGCAAGGTTAAGTGCCATCATCATCTCTCTGCTACCTCACACTCATTATGTCTGTGCTACTGTACCTAACTCCCACCAAGGTTCATGTTCAACCAC